CAGGCAGGCAGGCAGGCAGGCAGGCAGGCAGGCAGGCAGATAGATAGAATGTTAGTAACAAGTGCGGTTAGAAGAAAGATGTTTGTCTAATTAAAAGATTACTTTAAAAAAATTTTGGACAGGTGCACACCTACCTCTCACCCAATGAAGTTTAGAAATTGAACATTCATCCTAAATTGATGGATGGATGTCAATGGCATTCCCTCAGCATGTTTTATGATCTAGATGTGTTGAAACTCATGGAATAAGGGGAATATAAATTACTTTGATCGTGCTGCTGCTGATGTTAGATGGGCTGGCAGAAATATTTCATACCCTGCTGTTTGACTGTGATTTTCATAAAAAGTGACTTTTTATTTGTGTACCAGGAATAACTCTTCAGCAGCAGAGGACTGTTTGAAGTTCACCTCCCTCTTCACTCCACGTGGCGATCTGGCCCCGAGGACAGATTCTGTTGGCAGTGAGAAGAAAACATCTGCTTCTGTTTAACCCTCCCATTAAAAAACACAGCACACAAGACAGCAAGGTCTATGTGTGAACGTGGGAGCATGTTTGCGTTTGTGGTGGAGAGGGAGCCAGACAACATTGACCAGAATCAAGTTAGTCAAATAAAACTTTCCTTTAAAAATAACAGAATTTACAAAATATTCTGTTCATGACCCATCATTTTCCATGCACAATCTGGAAACCCCCCACCCTATTTGATTCTATTTCCACCCACCTGGTCTTTAAAGACCTTGAAACAGCAGCTCTTTCAGTTAATGATTGGCCACTATGGGGAAAGTGTGCACTTACTGTTGTCTCTTATCACTGCTGACCACAAAGCCCCTGGAACAGTATCTCTGAGGCTGACATTAATGGAGAGGACAGTGCTTTGTTTAAAGAGACAGGTCAGTTTCTCTTTGTCTGCTGGGGGATGAGATAGCTTGCATGCAACAACACTGTTGACTCAAATGAACCTTTAATTCAGTGCAGATTTTACATCTAGTTTGAACCTGTTTTTAGGCACTGCTTGTTATATTGAAAAGCATAGAATTAAATATTGGAATCTGTAATGGAGATTTTACCAATCTTCGCATTCTCTTGACATTTAAGTTTAAACATTGTCTTATAAAACCCCACTTGGAAATGTACAACCTTTACGTGAATGCAGGAAATAGACTTTCTACATTAGCTACAGGGCCTAGCAAAATTGATCATGCCTCCTCCCAACCCCCCCCCCCCCCAGTCTTTCAATTCAATTCAATTCAATTCTCAGTTCATTTATATAGCGCCAATTCACAACACATGTCATCTCAAGGCACTTTACAGTTCACCAGATCATGCAGTCAAATTGATTAAAAGTTTTCTATCTAAGGAAAACCAGTTGATTGCATTGACTCGTTGACTCGAATGCAATGCAATGACAGTGGCGAGGAAAAACTCCCTTTTAACAGGAAGAAACCTCCAGCAGAACCAGGCTGGATAGGATATGAGTCTTTAAATGAGGAGGGAGTGTTGGCCTAGTGGTTAGAGCAGTGCGCTTGTGCTCTGAGAAGGTTGCAGGTACCCTGTTGGATCATAGAGACCCAGAGCCTGCACTCTGAGCAAGACCCTTAACACCACACTGCTCCCAGCGACGAACAATGGCAGCCCTCTGCTGATATTAATTTCTCCATTGTGAAATCAAAACAGTTGAATTTCTAAGTGAACTGAGATTTCGAAGACCACCTGCACAACCATTTAAAAAGTTATGTGTGTTTATGCATGTGCCCAGGTTTGCATTTACCCATGCTAGCTTTGTCTGATATTTTGATCTTTAATGACCTGAAATACGGGACATCAAAACATATCTGAAAGAGGGAAAGTACTTTTTGTAATGATTTGCTCTAAAATGTTAAACAAACTAGGCTTCATTTCATATCAAAAGCAAAGTTGATGTGTTGACTTTTTACATTGTCTCTGACTCAGTAATCTGTTTTGGAGGAAGGAAAACGTGAAGATAAGGAATGACATTCAAATGAACAAAAGTATGTCATCTACAGGATTACATGTGATAATCTAGGTAAAAACTGAAAACAAATCAAGTCAGCTAAATGTCAAACACATAGATAAAGGCATGCAAATCATACAGCTTCTTATGTTTTAGATTACAAGTTTCCAGAATTAAAATAACACAATTTGAATCGGGGAAACATCATTCGAGACAAAGGTTTCTTAAAGGTCACTTTAATGCAAACAGGAAATGCAGCTGCCATTAATCGAGATGTTAGATATAAAAGATGACCAAAGAAAGAGGCTAAGCAGAGGCCATAGAGAGTCTACTAACCTGCAGGAGACTTGCAGAACAGGAAAAGTGCCATACTGCTATCGACTGTTGGTATAATCTTGCAAAGCCTATTTTACAGAGACTAGAGGAAACTATTTTTGCCCCTTGTGTATATTTTTCTTGGTAGCTCTGTTAGCCTCTTCCTGATAGTTTGCCATTAAAGAACACTCTTTTTTTGCTATTGGTTCTTCAAAGCTTCAGATTTGCTATCCTCTCAGGGCTTTTAGATTATTTTTCCTCTCCTCTTGCTTTACGCACTGATTCGTCTTTCCAGCCCCCCCCTTACATTCCTTAAAGATTTTTTTTTCTTTGCAGCTTTGACTCTAGGAGCAAAATCCAGGCAACCAGATGTGTGGGGAGGAGTTGAAAATAACCCAGCCAGAGAAGAACAACTGCTGCTGCTGCTGTTGAAAATGTACACACAATGAAGAACAGCCCGGATAAACAATTTAGCTTCCTTCCCACAATGGAGGTAGAAACATGACAAAATGCATCATACTTAGGGTGGAGGATGACTAAATATTTGCCATTTTCAATGCTAATTTACTTTTTCAGAAAACATTGCTTCTTATACCTTTAAAAGTGGTACAAATGCAAAGTCTCATAGTTGGATTTGTTTTGTCCACAAGGTGGAGATATTGAGCTGGAAATAGGTCGGTAAAAGACTTTGTATGGAAGACATGAGAGGTCAAACATTCTTTATAACTAAATCAGTCCAAGAGAGGTTGGAGTAAATGTCCTACTAATACATTACAAATTCAGCCTGACTGGGCTCGTTCTTTATTAAAGGATTCACCTGTGATGCTAAACAGGTTCTAAGCACATTACTGTTTTCCTCAATTGTTTACACACATTCTTTGAAAACTCAATTCAGGACTCCTCTCACAGCAACAAAAAACACACACAATCTTCGAAATCCCTAATTTTGCTGCAAACTAACAGCTAACTTTACTTTTAAAACAATACAAAGTATTCTCATAACATTGCTTTGTTNATTAAAACCAAGGAAACAATATCCCAAGCTTTGTGCATGGTATTAAAGACTCTCAAACTGACCAAACAATTGTCATTCGCCTTAACTGCCACCTTAACTGGTCTAATCTGACAGATCATCAGGTTGAAAAGTGGTAAAAGTGTTAAAGTGCTAAAGACAGCCATGGAGACTGTGGAGGTCAACAGCTCATATAGGAATTGATCTCCTACACTGCAAAAACAATCTAGAATTTAGTCAAAATGTCTTAAATTAAGTGTATTTACCCTTAATTTGAGTAAGTAAATAAGATGATTTGCAGTGGTGTCATAAGTACAGATATTTGTTACTTAAGTAGAAATATAGATACTGCAGTTTAAACACAATCTGTTAAAAGTTCAAGCATCAAATTGACCTCTTTACTTAAGTAAAAGTTAAAAAGTAGGTGCTCCAAAAACTAATTAAATATAAAAGTATAGAGTAACCTTAAAAAAAACCAGCCAGATGCCAGTATATGATTAATTCTTTGAGATACTGTAGGGCCAAGGATGAGGGAGGTGTTGGTCTCCGTCTCCATCTCGCCTGTTTCAGACATCTTTTTCTGAATCCGACATTGTAGCATGGCATAGAAAATTCACGTTTAAAGTTTGAACAACACCTGCTTGCTTCTGTTGATTTCCTTTGGCGTCAGCACAAATTTGATGAATAGCTAACCAATGAGTGTTTGCGTTGTATGACTCATCCAATGACACTAGTTTTCACTAGATGATGGCGCCAATGATCTGCATTGGATAGCGTGCATGATGTGAAGTAAATATTTATAAAAATAAAACCGAATCCAAGAGTAATGAGTAACGTTTGTTTTAAAAATGTAAGGAATAGAAAGTACAGATACTTGTGTGAAAATGTAATGACTAGAAGTCAGAAGTAGGAAGAAAAATAAGTTATGAAGTAAAGTATACATACATAAAAGGTGTACTTAAGTACAATAATGAAGTACTTTTACTTTGTTACTTGACACCTCTGATGATTTGCTGATAGAATGAGAATTTTTGCACATGAAATAAGGTAATTAGATAATCTACACTTGAAATAAGACAATGAAGTAGTTTTTTTCTTATTTTAAATGTAAAGTGTCTTGTTCCATTGGCAAAGTTTCTCATTACCTCCTCAGTTCATAAGAAATGCACTTATTTTAAGAAAAAATTACTAGATTTAGATGTTTTCCAGTGTAAATATTACATCTTATCACATTCCACAAATCACATGGAAAAAAACAATCAAACAAACAAAAAAAATACTTTGCGCAGGTAAAACAAAAACTTTTTTTTTTTTTTTTTTGCCTATATGTAAAAAACACTTTATTTCTGTGCAAATCATCTTGAACCAACTGCCCCCAAGAAGAACCATGGTCATGGAAGCATTTGACAGTTTGACATAAATGTAAATGACATGAAGTGTGATTTGCAAAATTTTCTGAAAAAAAAAAAAAAATCCACAGTATACACAAGCATGCAATAAAAAAATCGGAAAATGTAAAAAAAAACTTTAATGAAATATTTTACCCAGTCAAATAAATGTTGAATGAAACAACATAACAGAAATGATGTCATCATAGAGTTATTTGTCAGTGGAGCTTATCAATGGTACCCAGAATCTGATTTCATGTCTATTTTAGGATTCAAGAAATATTTTATTAGCTAGATGTGTTGAATAGGCTATGCATGCATTTTGACTTTTTGCCACTACTGATTATATCATACTAAGAAACCAACAAACAATGATACATTAAGCATTACTAAGCAGCTTGCTCTAATAAGAGTGAAAGATCGTACTGCAAAGTATTGAATCCGTTGCATTCAACACAAGCCATACCCTTCAAGTATTATTTCCTTTACTTCCATAGAATCCCAGTAATGGTTGGGATTAACTGTTGGGATTCTAAAAGGTGTTTGGATACTTTTGTAAGCCACTGCAAACTTAAATAGGTACTTCATTTAAAATTTTTTAACAATTCTGTTGTCATATGCTTCACACTGCCTTCCTAAAGAGACTAGTCTCTTTTTAGGCACACGCACAGTCAGTGGTGAATCCCACCAGCTGTACTCTGGTGACAGCACACAGGTCGGCCTATGGTCGATCAGGTAGCGGTTTAAGTAGCTTTCCTCCAGTGCTCTGGCTGTTACCTTGTTTGCCTCGTCCTGAAGTATAAGCATAGAACAGTCCCGAGCCAACCTGCGCATCTGAGAAACTACCCCACCATAAAACTCCGAGGTGTAATAGTAGTCCCCCTCATCCTCCTCCACACAAGCAGATGAATCCTCTTGGTCTTCATAAGGGAATTGATTTCGTTGCACATTAAAAAACTCTGGGTGCAACGTAGCTACCAGATCCCCGAGGATTTCTTCTCCCACTGGACCCACAAACTCCTGGTCGACATCAGTGCAGAAGATGTAATCAACCTCTTTGCCAATCAATTCAAAGATGGTTTCAGTAAACAAGACCATCCGACGGTAAGCCAGTCGGTCCCAGCCGGGTAGCTCTGCAGCTGGGAGAACCTTCATGTGCCGTCCAGGGCCCAGATCGAGCGGAGGATCCAGAGTACGGGGATTGTCTGTAAGAATGTAATATGTGACCATCTGACCAGGGAGAAAGTGGGTTTCAGCTGAGGTTAGGAAATGACGTATAAACCGGGCATAAGTTCCAACCACAAGGACCAACAGGCCTACGCTGATTCCTTGTTCTGAGAGCTTGGCCCTGCGCCACACCGAATTGTGGCTGTCGCCCCACACCAAAGGAGCTCCCCATGATGTCCTCTCTGAATGTCTTGGGTCCACCGTCTTGATAACAGACGTGTCTTTCAGTATTCTTCCATCCTTCATTCCCAACACCTCAGCTAAGGGATGGACTGACTTTGAACTGACAGCAGCTTTAGATCCGTTGAAGAAATCTAGAGAGACAAGAGGTTGTTTTTTATTTAAGCAAAGAACTACACTGGGTATGTACATCTAGTAGTGGAAAAAACGTCCAGATTCAGTTAAACCTATCACACCTGTAAATATTCAAGCAAGGGAGATAAATTTAAAACCGTTCAGGCAGGGCAAAATACAGGTAAGGCCTTTGTAAAAAGGACTAAAAACAGCAGTTATGACCACATAGGAGCACAACTCATCTGAGGTCAAAACAGGCTGTAAAACTGTTCATCACATATTTTAGTATCCGTGTAATGTTCTGGTACAAATAGATAGAACATTTTTCTCTGTATACTTACATATGATAAGAGACAGTAGGAAACAGCACAGGATGAGCTGTATTCTGTTCATTCTGACCGGGCCTGTTTGGGGCGAAACACACATTAATTCGTGAAATAGTGCTAACTTTTCTTATCACCTCTGTTATATTTTTTATTGTTTTTTTTTTCTGTGTTTTCTGTTTTCATTAGACTTAAACGGTTCAGTTTAACAAAGTTTAATGTAAGATAAAAAGGACCTGTGTAGTTTAATGTAAGATGAAAAGGACCTGTTTAGAGATAAAAAGATGTTTTTATTGGGACAAAAAGGTTGTTCCAAACTAGCCTGGGCCGATGTGAAAAGTTAATTACTGCTAAAACTAATAACTAATTATTGGTTATGTTATTAAGCATTGTCAGTAACTTTTAATGAGCTTTATACATCCCAGTGCATAGTTTTTGAGTCAGTCCTCCATTTGCTCTTATTCATCCATATTGGCTTCTCAAAACATTTCTCAAAACTCAAACAGCTCCATAACCCATCAACCTTTAGGACATTCTGTTATACACATTTCAGCAATTACTCTTGGTATTTAGGTGCCAGAATAGCTGCAGACCGTCATGCTTAGCACCACTGTGATTCTCTGTAGGTTTAACAATCCTTCCAGATGTTATGTTATGTACTCCTTCCAAAGCATTTTACTTCTAATAAATCCACTAAATATTTTCCCAATAGTTTTATGGTCCAACAAAATGGTGTCTAGCAGATGTGAGACGGGCCTTTGTGTTATTTTTTTAGCAGCAGGTCTTTTTTTTGTTATTGCTTAATCATGAACACTGACCTTAATGGAGGTACAGTATAGGTTGAATGGATCTTAGCTTTTGTTTTAAAGATTCATTTGTTGAACACTGCTTGGAGAATTTCAAACTCTGCCATGCTTTCAGTTATTGAAGGTAATATTTCCCCATTGTTTGTTGTCTGGTTTGCTGGAATCCCTAAACTTTTTTGTTACATTTCCCACACAAATAGACATAAACTGATTCATTCACAGGTTCAGAAATTCTTCTTAAAGACTTTCTTTTTGAGCTGCTCATGTAATTTTTTTATTTATTTTTTAATTGGGCCAAAATCTGTTGTTTTTTCTTATATCTTTCCCTACTTGATGTTGTGAGGCAGGTTTTCTTTAAATATTTTTTTCTGTTTGCCTGGATATTCAATTAAATTAAATTCAGTTCATTTATATATCGCCAATTCACAACACATGTCATCTCAAGGCACTTTACAGTTCACCAGATCATGCAGTCAAATTGATTAAAAGTTTTCTATCTAAGGAAAACCAGTTGATTGCATTGACTCGTTGACTCGAATGCAATGCAATGACAGTGGCGAGGAAAAACTCCCTTTTAACAGGAAGAAACCTCCAGCAGAACCAGGCTGGATAGGATATGAGTCTTTAAATGAGGAGGGAGTGTTGGCCTAGTGGTTAGAGCAGTGCGCTTGTGCTCTGAGAAGGTTGCAGGTACCCTGTTGGATCATAGAGACCCAGAGCCTGCACTCTGAGCAAGACCCTTAACACCACACTGCTCCCAGCGACGAACAATGGCAGCCCTCTGCTGATATTAATTTCTCCATTGTGAAATCAAAACAGTTGAATTTCTAAGTGAACTGAGATTTCGAAGACCACCTGCACAACCATTTAAAAAGTTATGTGTGTTTATGCATGTGCCCAGGTTTGCATTTACCCATGCTAGCTTTGTCTGATATTTTGATCTTTAATGACCTGAAATACGGGACATCAAAACATATCTGAAAGAGGGAAAGTACTTTTTGTAATGATTTGCTCTAAAATGTTAAACAAACTAGGCTTCATTTCATATCAAAAGCAAAGTTGATGTGTTGACTTTTTACATTGTCTCTGACTCAGTAATCTGTTTTGGAGGAAGGAAAACGTGAAGATAAGGAATGACATTCAAATGAACAAAAGTATGTCATCTACAGGATTACATGTGATAATCTAGGTAAAAACTGAAAACAAATCAAGTCAGCTAAATGTCAAACACATAGATAAAGGCATGCAAATCATACAGCTTCTTATGTTTTAGATTACAAGTTTCCAGAATTAAAATAACACAATTTGAATCGGGGAAACATCATTCGAGACGAAAGTTTCTTAAAGGTCACTTTAATGCAAACAGGAAATGCAGCTGCCATTAATCGAGATGTTAGATATAAAAGATGACCAAAGAAAGAGGCTAAGCAGAGGCCATAGAGAGTCTACTAACCTGCAGGAGACTTGCAGAACAGGAAAAGTGCCATACTGCTATCGACTGTTGGTATAATCTTGCAAAGCCTATTTTACAGAGACTAGAGGAAACTATTTTTGCCCCTTGTGTATATTTTTCTTGGTAGCTCTGTTAGCCTCTTCCTGATAGTTTGCCATTAAAGAACACTCTTTTTTTGCTATTGGTTCTTCAAAGCTTCAGATTTGCTATCCTCTCAGGGCTTTTAGATTATTTTTCCTCTCCTCTTGCTTTACGCACTGATTCGTCTTTCCAGCCCCCCCCTTACATTCCTTAAAGATTTTTTTTTCTTTGCAGCTTTGACTCTAGGAGCAAAATCCAGGCAACCAGATGTGTGGGGAGGAGTTGAAAATAACCCAGCCAGAGAAGAACAACTGCTGCTGCTGCTGTTGAAAATGTACACACAATGAAGAACAGCCCGGATAAACAATTTAGCTTCCTTCCCACAATGGAGGTAGAAACATGACAAAATGCATCATACTTAGGGTGGAGGATGACTAAATATTTGCCATTTTCAATGCTAATTTACTTTTTCAGAAAACATTGCTTCTTATACCTTTAAAAGTGGTACAAATGCAAAGTCTCATAGTTGGATTTGTTTTGTCCACAAGGTGGAGATATTGAGCTGGAAATAGGTTGGTAAAAGACTTTGTATGGAAGACATGAGAGGTCAAACATTCTTTATAACTAAATCAGTCCAAGAGAGGTTGGAGTAAATGTCCTACTAATACATTACAAATTCAGCCTGACTGGGTTCGTTCTTTATTAAAGGATTCACCTGTGATGCTAAACAGGTTCTAAGCACATTACTGTTTTCCTCAATTGTTTACACACATTCTTTGAAAACTCAATTCAGGACTCCTCTCACAGCAACAAAAAACACACACAATCTTCGAAATCCCTAATTTTGCTGCAAACTAACAGCTAACTTTACTTTTAAAACAATACAAAGTATTCTCATAACATTGCTTTGTTATGACTTAGACCCTTTGCTCTTCATTACATACTCTATGTTGTAATTTATTATTTTTTTTACATTAAATTCTATACATATTATGTATTTTATACATGCATATGGACTTCTATATTCTCAAATGACTCTTAGCAGCACTGGGTTATCTGTGTGTTGGAGTGAGTATGTAGTCTAGGGCAGGGGTCTTTAACTTTTTCAGGCCAAGCACCCCCAAACTGATGGCGAGATGGAGCGGGAACCCCTAATTATATTGTATGAAATTGTTTTATATCAAACTGGTCCTATAGTCACTCTATTACAGATTGAGTTATGTAACAAAAGTAATTTGGCCCTGGGATTATTAAAGTATTTCTGATTCTGATTCCTGGGTGATGGGACAGGTGTTGTGAATGAAACGGTATCCATATTAAGAGAGCTCCTGTATGCGCTGAATGTGTGCATTGATGACTGAAAGACATCTTCTGCCTCCATTTATCTGTTTACTACAGTGTGTTGAATTCATGTTACTGCATGTTTAAAGACATTTCAATTAGTGGAAAAAAATTGCAGGGGGGAATATAAAAAACAAATGTAATCAACCAAAACTTTCCCGACCCTCATGCAGTACCTCCGTGGACCCCTTAGGGGTCACGGACCCCTGTTGAAGACCTCGGGTCAAGGGTGTCCTGGAATCGCCCTATATGCTTGCTCAATAATGACTATAAAATTTTTGCGTTCATCATCGCAAAAAGGCTTAAGTGTGTCTTAAACTCCATAATGAAACACAATCAGGCTTTATGACCAACAGACACATAACCAACAATATACTATTAGTGCTAGATGTATTAGATTATTCAGATCTATTCAAAGATGATGGATTTCTGTTATTTGTAGACTTTTATAAAGCCTTTGATACTGTGGAACATCAATTCATTTTAGACTCCTTGTGTAAATTTGGTTTCGGACATTATTTTTCATCGTCAGTAAGGACCCTGTACAGAAATGGTAATAGCTCGGTAAAGTTAACTGGTGGAACCTGTCCTTGATTTGATCTTTTAAGAGGAATTAGACAGGGATGCCCAGTTTCTCCATACCTTTTTCTACTGGTTTCTCAACTTTTAGCAGACCATATTAAATCCATTGATATTCAAGGCATCCCTCTCTTAGATAGAAAACTTATAATCACTCAACTTGCAGATGATACAACTCTCTTTTTGAAGGATAAAAATCAGGTGTCTAGTGCTTTGGAATCTTTAAAAGAGTTTTCAAGAGCTTTTGGATTATATGTAAATGTCAACAAATGTGAACTCATGGCTATAAAGGAATGCTCCACCAGCTCCATCTGTAATATAATGGTTAAAGGTGAAGTGAGGTACTTGGATATAATAATTACTAAAGATCAACAAAGAACAGCATCCTTAAATTTTGAACCCATTATCCAGAAAACTCAAAGAAAGAGAGATTTCTTAAGAGCCATTGGTTTAATGGCTCTTAAGAAATCTCTCTTTTAAAGGGAGAGTATTAATAACCAAGGCAGAGGGTACTTCGCGTCTGACTTTTGCAGCTTTATCTCTCCACTTAGAGAAAAAACTTCTAAATGACATTGACAAAATGTTATTTAACTTTATATGGAGAAATAAGACTCACTATTTAAAAAAAAACCTGTTCTTATGAATCCATACAATGAAGGTGGTCTTAACTTCCTAGACTTTACTACTCTGAACAACACTTTTAAAATTAATTGGCTAAAAAATATATACAAACATCCTAACTCTATTTGGAATGCTATAACTTTGTATATGATTTCTAAACTTGGTGGATTAAACTTTTTCTTAATGTGCAATTATGATATTGATAAAGTTCCCATTAAGTTATCAGCTGTTCACCGCCAGGCCTTCTTTGTCATGGACTCTGATCTATAAACACAACTTGTCCTTTTCAATATTATTTAGAGTGCTGTTTCCCCCTAGCGTTAACTTTTGTTTAATAAATGTCAGATCTTAGTTTATTTTATTTTTTCTTGTCTTTTTTCCTTATTGTTTCATGTTTTGCACAAAATGAGGTCATTTACTTGACTGGTAAAAATGTGAACTTATACTTGTTGAAAATGTCTGTAAATAATGTTTGTGAATTCCTATAGTGCAATATGGTTGCTCTGTATTGTTCTTTGCAGAAACAAATAAAGTTGTATGAAAAAAAAAAATAAAAAATAAAAAAGGTGTCCTGGAATGTGACCAGGTGGGCAGTGCTGTAGGAACCAGGGTAGCATAATGATGATGATGATGATGATGATGCCATGTTGCGAAATTGCACCCACTGGGATGTTTCCTCCACGCTGGGCAGGGACTTTAAGGATGGCTAATAATATTCTTTTCCCTTTTTAGTCTTTTTGTTAGATTGAATCTTTCTTTATCAAGGAAGATTAACTGGTGCTCCACTTCAGCTAAAGGATGGGCTGATGCCAACGTAACAATGATAGAAGTAAACATAAAGTGCTCACTTTTGTGAAGCACAATATTACAATACTGGAATACATATTAAATAATATATATAGTGTTAAGAGATTAAATCAGTTGTGACTTTGTATAGAATGCTCTTGCACAGAAATAAATCTAAATGTTTTTATTTTTTTCTGAATCTCTTCAAAAAATGACACCCTGAAAACTTGCTTCATAAGATTTTTTCTGTGGCACACATGGTCCAGTGTTTTTTTTATTTAACTTATCAATATTCTAAAATAATCGATGAAAGATCACATAATCAGGAAGAAAACAAAGACGTAGATAAAGGACAAACATAGCATAGATGTAATCTCAATATTCAGTAACTTTTTAAAATTGCAGGCAAAACAAAGCTTTTTATGAATCACATGATATTTTTAAATGCAACATTTTCAAAATTATCCTCATAAGCCAGAGAATATACAGTAGGTTGGCCAAGCAGAAACAGATGGTGACAAAACTGGGTTGTGATTATTTCAAAGAGAAAGACTTTTTATAATAACCCATTAAATAATTTAAGAACGAAATGTATGAATATTTCTCACAACTCATTACCTCTTGTCCCCACAACCCAAAGCTGCTGATTAAAACCATCCTTCTGTTCTACTCAGTATGTAGAGACAGAATTTGTCCTCCTCTTCAATAGATATTTCACTAACTAGATTTTTAAAGATAACACCACATTTCTATTATCTGATATGTAATGTTTTTTTTCTTTTTTTTTTCTATTGTCTGGGGTTTTATTTCTGAAGCTTTTAAAACAGATGTTATTCAGACATTTTTAATGAAGAATTTGTGATTTTAAGAGCTTGAAACCTACTGCATTTTTTTAAAGGTTCACTATTGTTAGTATTTTACTGACGTCTTTTCTTGTTTACAATCCTTGTTGTTTTATAAAGCTTACCTATGGTGTAAGCTTTATAAATCTAGTGCTATTTTGCATTTATGTGTTTCTACTTAGTCAAGTTTTTTGCAAATATTATAACCCTGTTTATTTATCTTTTATTTATTTTCAGGAACCTATACAACTATTAATTAATTTGATCTTTCTTCAGTTAACATACAGAATAATAGCTAATATATACCTAATAACTTTATTTTGGTGAACAATAGCATTAAGAGGTTTTATTTTTTTGGTCCCAAGGCCTACCAAAACATTCTTAGGACTTTTACTGCACACGTCAGGATAGAAACTTTGTGATGGTTATAGTATCTGATTTCAAACATTTGTAAAGATTTTGCTATTATTTCTAAAACTGCCTTTGATCATATTAGGGACATTGCTAATATAAAATAGATTATCTCTGATGCTCCAACCTCAATTTGTCCTTTTATTTCATTTAATCATAATCACTATAATTCTCTTCAATTATCTAATTGTACAGCAGCAAAAAATATGAATCCGACCCGTTTTCTTTCTTTATTTACATCTCTTTTTTATGTAATATTATAGATAACATATCTCAAGAATCAATGTATCCTGACAAAGACGTCTCCGACTCAAGATGTCACTTTGCTGTTTATTCGCTAAATTTATTATTTGTTTATACATACATACAGAAATTGCAACAAAATCTCAGTTTGTGTAAACAACAGTTGACTGAATAATCTGTCAACAGAAAAACAAAGAAAACTGCACAGGCTACTCTTAGGGATAGATAAAGTGGAGCATGGGAAGCTTTATGCAAACATCATTATATTACTGTGATTTTGCTGGCTGCAAAGTGGGGCAGACAGCTTGAAGCCAAAGAGTAGGGACTCTGCATAAAGGTTTTATGAGGATTCATGTCACAAACTCTTGAGAATAGATTCAGAAAAAACTCATAGAG